AAAAAAAAAAGAAAAAATGTGATTCATCAGTACCACAAAAAATTAAGGAAAGGCCAACATAAACTGGAAAACGGGGAAAGTTTTCTGGATAAAATGGTATTTAAAACGAGCTTGAGTAAACAGGTTTTGGTAGCATACACCTATAGTCCCAGCGCTCCGGAGGGTGAGGCAAGATCACCTCGAGTTGGAAGCCAGCCTGGGTTACCTAGTGTGCTCAAGGCCAGCCAGAGTTGTACAGCAAGACTCTCCAAGAGGGGGGGTGGGGGAAGGTAGCCCACATATGAATCCAGTTCTCAAAAAACACACCAAGGAAAAACTTAGCTACAAGGGATGAGCGCTTAACCACACTTAAACTGTATGAGTGAAGGTTTGTATATAGAAAGTTTTCCACTTAAAACCAAGAGATATCCTTCTCTTACAAATAAGAAAAGTATTTCTGAGGTGTGTGCATGTGTACTTATGTATAGGATAGTTTTCACATCCTGAAGGCCAAACTTCCCTTAATATAGTAGGCCCTCAATTATTTATTGAGTGAATACTAAATGGCACCTGTTGCAGACTACTTACAACTTAAAGTGACAAATCACTGTAACACAAACCTATTTTAAAACTTCAAAGATAAGTATTCTCAACATCTTTATATCCAATTTCTTTCTTTATTCAACAAATATTAGGAGCTTATTATGTGTCAGGCACCATGCCTATATATGGGCCAATTTTCATCTGACAATAATTCTACCTACTCACAACCACAGTGTTCCACTAAGATGTACGCTAAACTAGCAGAGATGGGACTTACACCAAACACTTACATAGATGATTTTTTTATATGCAGGCCACATATGCGCAACAAAATAGATACCATTACTATTTTCATTACATGTATAAGCAAACTGGGACTTGGCAATTCTACATCTTCACATTCAACCAAGTGCAAATAAAAATGGGGAGAGGGGCTCTGCATCTATACTGAACATGTACAGATTTTTTTCTTGCCATTATTCCCTAAACGAAACAGTATAACAACTATTCATGTAACATTTACATATAAAGTATGGAGAAGCTGGCCATGTAACACAGTGGGATGGACAGTGAAGTATCAGACTCCAGTGAAGTATGACTTCCAACCCTAGTACTACCAAAAAAAAAAAAAAAAGTACAGGAGAGAAGGGTGAGGAATTTAGCTCAATGACACTGCACCTGCCTAGAAAGCACAAGGTCCTGAGTTCAATCCTTTGTGGTGGAGGGTTATAAGAGAGACATAGTTAGGCTACATGCAAATACCACCCCATTTTATATGAAGTCCTTGCACAGCCTCAGGATTTTGATAGCCTTAGGAGTCCTGAAACCAATCCCCTACAGATGCCTAGGAAGGACTGTACAGAATTTTCATTAAAAATAGCATGCTTGTAATCCCAGCACCTGGGAGGCTGAGGAAGGAGTATCACTGTGAGTTTGAGACCAGCCTGGGCTACATAGTGAGTTCCAGATCAGTCTCAACTACATAGTGAGACCCTGCCTCAAAAAACCAAAAAGTAATAAAGCCAAACATCTAAAGGGGTTTCAGTTGCATTTCCAAAACTACTTATACCTTTTAATTGTTTATACTGAAAAGCAAAGCTCACTACATGATTATTTGTAACTGAGATGCAGTAATGAACTCCAAAATTATAATGGTGGTCCAAAAAGAAAAAAAACAAAACAAAACAAAACTACTGAAATATACAACATACTACAGGGTAAGTCAGCAGAAAACTAAGTCAGATAGATACAGCTTGAAAATATCTACCAAAACAGAGTCCACAGAGGCCAGGCTTGGCGACACACGCCTGTAACCCCAGCACCGGGGAGCTTGAGGCAAGAGGATCACTGAGTGTTTGAGGCCAACCTGAACTATATAGCAAGACCCTGTCTCAAAAAGAAAGGAGGAAAAAAAGTATTATAAAACAGTGCTATAGAGAAAAACAAACAAGTGAAGGGAGATAGGAGTATGTGACAGGGAACTCCTCAGTGACAAGGAGATGTTCAAACAGAGCTGTAAAGAAGTTAAAAGAAAAATAAGGAAGAAACCGTATAAAAGGAGTTCTAAGTAAATGTAATAGCTAAGCACAAAGGTTCTGTGGCCAGGATATCGTTTGGTTTTGAAATTGTCTTTACCATACTTTGAAAGCACTTCCTATTTTTTATAATCAGTAATTACTTAATGAAGGGATTTATTCAAATGTCATTTTTTCTTTCACTAAATGACTCAAAATATAACTGCAGTGGAATAAGGCATACAAAATGATCACCTAATCTCCAAAGCAAAGCCTCTCAAAAAAATAAAAATTACTTCCTTATTACTACATTCAAGCTTCTGCAAGACTCATCTGGAATGTTTCCTAAGTCAAGGTTGTTTCTTAAAAAAAAATCAAGGTATTGTCACAAAAAATGTCAAAGCAAGAAGTAGGAAGAGAGAAGAGTGCATTAAGATGAAGTAAAGATAGAGACAAGCCTGGCTTGGTGGTGCACGCCTGTAATCTCAGCACTTGGGAGGGCGAGGCAGAAGAACTGCTGTGAGTTCGAGGCCTGCCAGCACTACATAGTGAGTTCAAGGCAAGCCTGATCTACTATCGAGACCCTGTCTCAAAAAAAATGAAAAAAGATAAAGATTAGAGACAAGCAAATATTCTAAAAGAAAAGTTGCCTTACAAAAATTACTTTAAAAATCTAAGTGTAACAACTGAAAAGACATTTACAAAATGTCAACAACTTTGGCAGGCATGAGGCCCTGAGTTCAATTCCCGGTATCACGCCCCCTTCCATAGTATTATGATTAAGTAAAAAAGGCTTTTAATAGTTTTGATTAATCTTCCAAAAACTAGCTTGTGAAGTACTTACTTCTGTCTCTATGTTAGTGTGTGTGTGTGTGTGTGTGTGTGTGTGTGTGTGTATATATATATATACCAGCAGTACCTGCAGAATAAATGGATTTCAAATTTGTAGGAAGTATTGTTTTTCCAATTTTTGGAAAAGGAACCAACTTTTTCAAGTATTAATTTTTCGTTTTTGTTTTTTGGGTTTTTTTGGTTTTTTGAGACAGGGTCTCACTATGTAGTTGAGACGGACCTGGGGACCTGGAACTCACGATGTAGCCCAGGCTGGTCTTGAACTCACAGCGAAACTCCTGCCTCAGCCTCCTAGGCTAGGATTACAGGCGTGAGCCACCACACCCAGCTTCAAGTATTAATTTTTGAAACTAATAATCACAAGCAAGTATATGTACTCAAAAAATGTGCTATTTTAGAGCAGCCATGGTAGAAATCACTACAACTAAACTTTTATCTGTTCTAGGCTTACATATACCTGCATTACCATAATACCTCATAAGCAAAATAATATTCAATGAAATTTGTGTCCATCACAGTACAAATCAAAACAAAAGGTGCCGGGCGTGGTGGCCCATGCCTGTAATCCCAGCACTGGGGAGGCTGAGGCAGGAGGATCATTGTGAGTTCGAGACCAGCCTGAACTACATAGTGAGTTCCAGGTCAGTCTCAACAACATAGTGAGACCCTGTCTCAAAAACAAAACAAAAAAAGGTGACTGTAGCTCCATGGTTCAAAGTAGGAATTTTGTTCCAACTCACTGTTTTATATCCCAAAGAAACCTCAGCTCCTCCCAAGGTGACTTTGAGCCTAAGAATTTGAATATGTAATCATTGTTTAAGATACTGATGAATATTTACATATTAAAGATTTTTATTTTGACATAATTCTATACTTAATTCACCTGAACTGTAGGTGGTCTTGAAATGTTTCCTGAGGGCAAAGAACTGTATACTGTAAAGAAGTACACACTGATGTTCAAGCAGTAGTATTCCTGCTGCTGATAAACAAATATAATTTTTAAATATCAGCTAGCAGGAGCAGGAATAACTGAATTTCTTCCTTAAACAGTAAAAAATGTATACTAAACCTCACTACTAAACCGATAGATTCAGTAATATACCCAAGTACAATATTAATTGCAGTAAAGTTACAGTGACTAACTGTGCAAGTTTGGACAAAAAGAATGATGATGAAAATAGTACAATAAAATATTCATGTAATGTCGTTTTTGAAGGCCGCTCTCCCAAAAATATGAGGAAAAAGGAAGCCAACCCTCAGCAAATGCAGTACCTGAAATGACTGGGAGCTTGGTGTGTTTGAAGGACTCAAGTACTTACACTATTTCACTTGACCACCACAGCAATCCTGTGGCCTAATATTATGAATGGGAAAAATTCAGAACCAAGAGGTTACGCAATTTGCCCAAGGTCGCTCAAAAAATCAGCGGTACAGATATACCTGGAATGGTGCACTTCACCTGACCCTTTCCACTACATCACCCCGCCTCCCAACCGTGGCATGACAGAAAAGCAGGGATCAGACTCGTGTGTAACCCGCACTACCCCTCCCCTCCCAGGGAGGCGCAGGCTGGCCTCTGAATGCGTTCCTTAGCAGCATGCCTGCCAGAAGGAAGTTGAGTCCGACAGGGAGGCCACGGATCAGCCCAGAGAAGTGACAAGGCTGACAGGCGCACCCCCTGCGGACCAGTCTGCATTCCCAGGAGCCCCTTCGGACCGGGGGCCGGCAAGCCTGGTCTCCCAAACGTCCGATACACCTCCCAGGGAGTTTCGCCCCCTCCTGGACGCGAGGAACCAGCTGGGAGGGAGCCAAAGGGCGGACGAACGGCCACTCGAGCCGGCCATGTGTCCAGCCCGTCACGCCCGCCTCGCCCCGGCCGAGGCAGAGGCCCAGCTCCAGACACAACGCAAAAGCAGCCTTGGCGGCAGCCTCCACAACCACCACGCCAGATTGAGGCGTCCCGGCGTGGCACCGCCGTCAGGTCTCCGCCCCACCCCTCCAGCTGGTCTGGCGAGGCCGGTCCGCGGCTCCAGCCAAGCCCGGAGGACTCGGCCTGCCATATCCCGCCCGCCCGCCGCCGCAGCAGCCACCTGGAGCGTCCTTACTTCATTAAGCTTGCGCTCCGCGGCCTCGCGCAGGGCTGGGTCCATGGTGCCCCGCAGGGCCTCGATAATGGTGTTGGGGTCCATCGCGGCGCGGACTCGGTCAAACCCGGGGCACGGGTGCTGTTGGGCCAGGAATAGCGCCACACACTGCGCACATGGACCCGCCGCACTCCGCAGCGGCAACCGGCGCGAAAGGAAAGAGAAGCGCCAAGGCCCCGGATAGAACCTCTTTGCTTCGGCGTGGAGGCGGGAGATGCTCCGGACACTTCCTGCCTGTGCGGCCGCGGAGCACCTTGGGAAATGTAGTCCTCAGGCGCTGTGCGCAGCCCACGTGGCTGCCCCTCGCAGACTTGCTACTCAAAAAGGAAAATCTTTCAAACGCTGCGCAAAGGAAATGAAGACAATCAATTACGAAGATTTCTTATAACATGCCTAAGGAATGTATGATACAGCTTCTTGCTAGTAGCTGTGTAATTCAAAAAAGGAACTTTGAAAGCCAATTTGAGTTGTAGTTCTAAATGACATAAAAATATTTATACTCTTTGACTTACTACTCCCATTTATGAGACCTTATCCCAAGAAAATATTGTATCATAAAAAATTAAATGAGATTTACGAAAGGTATTCATCACATTGCATATAATTAATTACAAAATATTGAAATTATAGTATTTTACTGAGTATCTAAAGTCTAGCTAGAAATTTTGGAAATCACCTCTAAATGCCAAGTTAAAGGGAAATCCACACTTAGATTCACCTTCTTTAAGACAGTTTCAGAAAGGTTTACACAAGGTCAATTTAGCAAGAAGCTTAAGTAGGTTTTCAAGAGCTATGATCTCTGTTCAAATTTTTCATTGCTCTGAAAAGGCCTCTTAAGACAAATTTCCAGCAATACTAAAATGGTTCAACAAACTACAAAAATTCAGTCAATTAAATACTTTACAATCATTAAAGCTTACAAATATTGCCAGGCATGATAACATTTACTTATTATATTTTCACCTACCCTAGAGACAGGCAGGAGGATGGCACCAGCACATTTATTGTATATATAATAAACCTTGTAGCAACATGAAAGCATACAACGCTGTAACATGGAGAAAGACTGGGACATAAAATTTGGGGTCTTTTTTATACAGGCAGCTAAATTAGGTAAGAAATATTGTAGGTAGTAAGACAGGGCTAAGCTCTCGAGAGTCAGTGCAGAGGATGAGAACATATCAAAACTGTGGCTAGTGGGCCAGGGATTTACCTCAGTGGTTCCTCCACCTGCCTTGCAAGCACAAGTTCAATCCCTGGAACAACAACAACAAAAAGCCTCAAAACTGTGACTAGTGTCTGGGGATGATGGTTCATGCCTGTAATCCCAGCACTTGGGAGGTTGAGGCAGGAGGATCACTTTGAGTTCCAGGCCCACCTGGGCTCTATAGTGAGTTCAAGGCCAGCCTGAACTACACAGTGAGGCCCTGTCTCAAAAGCAACAACAATAAAAACAAGCAAAATTCTGTCTGGAGGCACATTCATTGAATGCCAGACCTCAAAATACAGATGAAATGCCTATGTACCTATGAGGGATCAATAAAAGTTTGAGTACCATCTTTTTGAGATACATAAATAAACCATCATCTCATTAAGTGTGGGCCATCTTTTCCCACCCACTAAAACTGAGACTAAGATTAAGACTAAAACTAGCCAGACATGATGGCGTGTGCCTGTAATCCCAGCACTCGGAAGGCTGAGGCAGGTGGATGGCTGTGCGTTTGAGGCCAGTCTGGGCTACAAAGCCCAGTTTCAAAAAATAAAAAGACTAAAGAGCTGGGGATTTAGCTCAGTGGCCCCAGCACCTGCTCCTAAAACATAAAAAATGGCTAAAACTACTAAGACAAAGGTAAGAATAAAACTATATTGGGCTGGGAATGTAGTTCAACAGTGAGGCACCTGCCTGGCAAGTACAAGGTCCTGAGTTTGATCCCTGGTACAAAAAAATAATAATTATTATTATATATATATCTATATCTATAGATATAGATATAATCGATCAAAGTTAAAGATATCATCCACGGTGCTCGCTTCGGCTGCACATATACTAAAATTGATGTCATCCGAGTATGCTTGTTACCCCATTGAATCAATATTACCTAAGCAACTATACTTACAATCCTATTGTTGGATTAAGTTTTGTACAACCTTGTACCCACCTCTTGATTTTGTCCTGTAACCTCCCTTGTAAGTGGCCTCCTTGGCAACACACTTTCTGGGTCCCCTCCTGTCTCTCTCAGGAGCTGTCTCTCCCTCAATAAAATTTCCTACTCTTAACCTCGGTCATTCCTCAGAATTCTTTCTTTGATTCTGGAGAACACGAACTCAGCGCATCAATTATCTAGTAAGGTTTGGAAGTTGCATTTATTCCTCTTGTGAGACCTGACTGAGATAAAATGATTCCATGTTGGGTGAGTAATGGCCCCAGAGGCCGCTGTGTACCCCTCCCCTTTGTAGTTGCACCCCTACCTTTGCTTAGGAATGTAAGACTGCATAACTTTGTGATCTTAAATTCTTAGCCCCAACTGTGAATAATGTGAGTAAATAGGCAAATGCTTAAGAGTTCTGGAAAATGAGATAAGATTTGTGCCATGATTGTCTGAAATACCTTAGAGACCCCCGTAAGCATCTTTTAATCATCAGCGTGTGATTGCTGAGTATGTGGCTGCTGACCATCAGCAGACCAGTAGCCTTTGTCCCCTGCCTCCAGGCTTTGAATGTTAAACTCCCCCTTATCCCTCTTATAAAAAGGACCTCAGCCCCTGAGCTGGCACCTCTCGGAGCTACTAGGCTCTGGGAGTGCCATCTGGCCAGACTAATAAAGGTCTGTTTACCATCTAGCCCAGTGTGTTCCTTCCTGGGTTTCTCGTTCCTCCATCGAGCTCCTGGAGCCTCGCTGAGCTATAGGACCCAGCATCGTGGAGGCCCTTTTGGCTGTTCATGACTCCCGGAAGTAAGGCCCTGGGTCTTGCATCCCGAGCCCTCCTTGGGCTATAGGACTCAGCATCATGGAGGCTTTTCAGCTCTTCACGTTCCGTGGCGTGGAAGTGAGACTCTAGGTCTTACACTCTTGTATCACTTTTATGTTGGTTATTGTTATAAAATTCTGTAAACTGCTGAAAAGAATGATAAATCTTCAAATGCAATTTGTTAAATGATAACATTTCTAGTTTTCAAAAAATTAGAAAGGCACATAGAAGCCTTTTCCTGGAGTAGTTTTGTAATTTTAATACTGTACCTCTTACTTGCCAGCTACTGCGCCTGGAGATGAGGTACAATTACAGTGAAAAATCCAAGGTTCAGACTACTTAAATTATGAAAAGTCATAAAATCTTGAGTGTAATTTGTAAAAGCCTTTATTCTGTACTATTATAATCTATGTAGTAATATGAATTTGTCTCTCTGCCCACTCCTCAGTCTGAGGGCCTAGAAATTAAGGATAATGATTTTTTCACCTTTGCCTTCTACTACCGCAAAGCTTGAATATCTAGTAGCTCAATAAATATGTTATTTTAGTGAACAGATGAAGAAAACAAGTAACGATCTAGCAATAACTTAAGTGGTTGGGCCAGAATTGAAAGCTTGTGCTTTATTTTCATAAATTTTATTCTTTTATTTTTGCAATATTAAGGTGTGAACCCAGGGTCTCATACATCCCCAACCTACAAAAATATAAAATCCTGCTCAGCTCCACCTAGATAATTTAAAATTTAAAGATCTGTAGGAGCTAGGGATTTAGCTCAGTAGCACTGCCCCTGCCTCAAAAGTGCAAGGTCTTGAGTTCAATCCCCAGTATCAACAAACAAACAAAAAACCAAAATCTGTTAACATTTTGATAGTTATTAACTCTAAAGATGAACTTGGGTAAGATTAACATTTAATGGCATTAAATGCTCTGACCCAAGTTATATAATTATTTATAATTTAAAATTTCTCTTAGTAATATTGTTAGTTTTCAATACATGGACATTGCGTATATTTTGTTACATGTATTATTAAACATCACATGCTTTTTATGGTATTCCTGGTAATATTTTGAATTTTCAATTTCCAGCTATTAGTTGCTTATATCTAGGAAAAGAATTTTTTCCAGTGTTAGGTATCAAATCCACATGCTATGCAAGTGCTCTGCCACTGACTTAAATCCTCAGCCACACAAATTAAAACAATTATTTTTTTTTTGTATTTATTTTTTGTTTTGTTTTGGCCATTCTGAGTATTGAAATCAGGGCCTCATACATGCTGGCAAACACTTAAATGCTGAACCAAACTCTGAGCCTGCCAATAAGTAATTTTGTGCTTTGAATCCTGCAATCTTATTAAAATAGCTTATGGATTTTAGTATCTCCCCCCACCATGTCCTTTAGAAATTTCTGTTAAAAAAAAAAAAAGAGAAACAAATCCATATGTATCATCACGACTTCCACAAACAAAAGTTTTACAATTTTCCTGTGTATGTGTGGGAGGGCCTTGCACATATTAAGTGCATGTTCTACCACTGAGCTACATCCCCCAACCTACCTTTTTTACATTCTATTGATTGATTAATTGATTTTTTGTTTTTGCTTTTTGAGACAGGGTTTCACTATGTAATTGAGACTGACCTGGAACTCACTATGTAGTCCAGGCTGGTCTTGAACTCACAGCGATCCTCCTGCCTCAGCCTCCCGAGTGCTGGAATTACAGGCATGCACCACCACACCTGGCCATTGATTGATTGATTCAGAGTCTCCCACATAGTTCAGATCAGCCTTGAATTTACTACAAAACCCAGGTTGGCCTCAAACTCTCAGCCTTTCTTCTGCCTCAGTCTCCCAAGTGTTGCAATTACTGGTGTGTACCACCACATCCCGCCTTTTTCACATTCTTTTTTTTTTTTTTTTTTGTACCAGGGGTTGCATTTAGGACCTTGTGCTTGCTAGGAAGGCAGTGGAACCACTGAGATAAATACTAGGTGTATTTTTTTACATTCGTAATCACAGGTTTTTCATAAATTCTTTTTATCAGGTTAAAATTTCCTATTATTTCCAATTTTCTTCAACTTTAAAAAAATTATAAATAGGATGGTGAATTTTGTCAAATTAAAAAAACTGTTTCCATCGGCTGGGGATTTAGTTCAGTGGTTCCACCTCCTGCCTTACAAATGCCAGGTCCTGAGTTCAATCCCTGTTACAAAAAAATTTTTTTTCCAGTCCTGGTGATTGAATCCAAGGTCTTTACACTGAGCTACATCCTCAGTTT